CATCTCTTATTGTACTGGTCATGTGTGAACACTGATGAAGCTCCTCAAATACAACAGATTCTGGTAGGAAGAAAACAAAGCATAGTTCTAATAACTTGTGAATCAAAGGTTTGTCTTGAGAATGTGATCAGCTGCTATTCACAGTGCAGGGAAGCAGCTCAGCTCAACTACTTGGGGTGTTTGGTGTAGACCAGGGCAACTGCCTGAGTTTGACCATTTAGAACACCAAATGAAGCTGCTCACTTAAACAACTATGGGTGAGGTGGTCACTGTCCAGCTCAGAAATCAGTGTAAAGAATTAGATTTGCTAAATTGTGCAGATTCATTATCCTGTCTGTTGCAAACATTTGTCGTATTTACACAAAATACATTTTTTTTCATTTAGCCTTCACTCTTTGGTTGCAATCCAGAGCACAGCAGCTCTGTAGACAGTGCTTTGCATGTTTCCCTCAGTATATCTCAAGACATAATTAACTGATATCAATTAGCAATTATAAAACTACAAGAATCATAATTGACTTTGTTGGAATGACTATGTAGAATAAATGGATGTGATGTCACTAAACTGCTCTCTGATTATCCCTTAAAATCATGAGCGCTTTTGCAGGTAATGCTTGATGTTATGTAGGAATGTAAATACAAAATCTATTGATGTGGAATTGATTTTATACAGCAACTCAAGCATTTATCTTAGCTCTACTTATTGCTTAATCCCAAGGATAGTAGCAAAATCAGATTCTCACTAATGGAAAATGAGTTTCAGGTTTCTCTGAAGTGATACAAATTGTTTGGTAATAAAATTTTGCATAATCACCTGCTTAAATAATTACCAACATCATCCTCCTGCTGATGTTCTCTAACAAACATAATGATTTCTAAAAACATTGCACAATCTCTAGCAGGCTCAGGCATGTCAAGATTTTCTGGTCTAACACTCTGTGAGGTGAAAAAAATTGTGCTTAGCATGCATAAAACATGCTGTACTGTCAAGCTAATATTTTTGCCAAACAGATTGTGTTATTGTCCGTACATCTCCAGCTGATGCTGCCCTGTATCACAGAGCATTTGGCTTACTCTCTGCATCAAGAAGAGGAAAAATCATTTTGTATTTGGAATTAGGCTGGTGATTAATCTTTTGAGTTCTTGTTTAGAGATATATATTTAAAAGAATAGCTATAGTTACTTGACAGCATTGTTTAAATTTATGATATTTATGTAGTCTCTTCCTGTAGTGGAACTGGAAAATTGACTCCAACAGAGTTGAAAGAGTGCTTAAATAACCAGCATATAAAATACGGAGCATGTTGTAATGTTTTACCCCCAAATTTGTCTTGTCATTGCTGTCTAAGTGAATGAAAATTTGGAGAGTGCGTTTTAGTTGAAAACTTATTTTGCTTTAATTGTGGTGGCATTTAAACCTGCTGAGAGCCAGTGAGTTTTCTACAATGATATACTGAGTGCTCAGGGTAGACAGACACAGTGGAATTCAAAATAGACATATACAGCTCTTCTGATTCAGAGTTGTGTTGACTGGATGGGTTCATTCTGCGATCTGTGGATGCTTAGTTCAGTACAGTCAAGTATTTGCCCTTGCCCCATCCCTGGAGATGTTCAAGGTCAAGATGAACCAGGCTCTGAGCAACCTGATCTAGCTGTAGATGTCCCTTCTCACTGCAGGGGAGTTGGATTAGGTGGCCTTTAAGGGTTCCTTCTAACTCAGTTCTATGGTTCTAAACAGCAAGACCATCTGCCACAACGAGGGAGATCCTCATTTAAGAAAAATGAAAATTTCTGGAAAGAATAATCCTTAAATTTGAAAGGTTGAGGTTTGTTTTCTGTTTTGCTGATGATATGAGGAAACACTTCACTTAAAATTATCATTCTCAGAAATTAAGTCTTAAAAAAGAATGACACAGTTTCAGTTTCTGAGAGGTTCTATTAAACTACCAAGTGAATTTATAATTCCCAACATAGAATCATTAAAGTTGAAGACCTCTAAGATTGTCTAGTTCAACCATCTCTACTATGCTCACTGCCTACATCTCTCAGTGCTACATCTCCATGGTTCTAGAGAACCTCCAGGGACAGTGACTCCTCCACTTCACTGGGCAGCCTGTTTCAGTGCCTCACCATGCTTTTTAAAAATAAATTCTTCCTGATTTTGTAAAGCAAAGTACTTCATGCTAAAAGCAACAGGGATGGTGGGTGCTTAGGCCTCCTTTTTAAAGATGCATCAATCTGTGTGCACTGGAGTTAATGTAAACCATTTTCTTCTAGGTTGTAATTTGTTATTGACTGTCTACTGTCTAATGAAGTGTGTTCATGTTGCATCTTTTACTGCTTTGTAAGCTTTTGTTTGCCAGTTTTCGTGCAACATCTCTGAGACTTTTGCTTGAGTTGAATGTGGCTTCATCACAGCTGGACAGTCACACAGTTATAGAATCATTATGGTGGGAAAAGACCTCTGAAGTCATCTAGTCCAACCATCAACCTGTCACTACTGTGGCCACTGAAATACTGTCACAGCCTCTCTCACTCACATCCACAAAACCTCTACATCTTTAGGAAAAGAGGTTAAAAACTGTTGGCTCCAAATAGTTAATCTAATTCTGAATGTGCTTGCTGGGTGTGCAAATCACTGTTATAATGGCCAGATGTTTATTTCATGAGTCCACACTTCAACCTTCCAGTGGTCGTCTTGAAGACAAAAGTTGCCTTCATATTCTTTGCATCAGGTATTTCTGAGTGCTGTGACTCTTACTGGAAAGGATTTGCTAGCTCAGAGGTCTTGCATTTGTCAAATGAATGCTTGGGGTAACGTTTTGTAGCTTAGCCTGGTGATTGTGGTGAAGTCACAGATGATGGTTCTCTCTGTACTGCAGAGTCAAAAATCGGATGAGGTTTTAATGAGGTGACATTGTTACCGGCTCTAGACCCAATAGCTTGTCATCTAGTTGTGAGCAGAATAATTACCAGTGTTAAGGATTCATTAAAAAGGCAACTTGCCTTTTGAAAGGAATTACTGTCTGAAGCTCTGTGTCTGGGCTAACAAGCCTCTGAGAGGGACACGGAGGGAGGCAGCAAGATGGTAGACAGTATGAGCATGGGGTTGAAACAGAAGGCTTTGAAATGATACCTTCCATTTGCTAAAAATAAAAAGCTCTTCTGAGCTCAGTGATTTTATTATTTCTTTTTGTCTGCATCTGGGAAGACTTTTGATGGGCTGGTGCAGAAATCAGCTGTCTGCAATTTCTTCTGGCATGAGATGTGGTGTTACGTGAGGGTGCAGAACTCCCAGCTGAGCCCAGACCAGTCTGGAGATCACCAGGAGCAAGGATGTCGGAATTTCACTTACGTTTCCCTGGGTGGAAGGCCTGAGATTGGTGACTGGACTGTACTTTCTGAGACTGCTCAATGTGTTTTAGTGCTTTTACTCAATCGTTTTGCAGTTTAGGTTGAACAATAATTCTGAAATCCCACTTCTCTCTTTACTCTTATGGTACTGGAAAGTGCGTTTTTAAGGTGTATTTTTGTGCTCTGCCTTAAAAGTACAACAGTGACCAGCAGTAAATGGTCCCTGTATGTCTATTAATGTTAAATGAGGCTTTTAATAAATCCTGACTTAATTTCTTATGTTATGCCAGAGATTATTATCTTAGTGCTCTGTGAAATTAAAATAACAAACAGGAGTTAGTTGATATTAAAGTTGCATATCTACCTAAAAACATATTACAAACTCCATTAAAGATTTGCAGATAACTTAAATGCATTAATTTACATTAATTCCATTAAGTGGAGATAGTGTGTTTTTAATGCTGGAAAATACTTGTCTGGCAGCTTAATTAAATATTTGGAACAAACAAAAACAGCCGAGATCTAATTTTCAAGTGTTATTCAGTCATGTTTGGAGAGGGGTAAATACATCTGCACCAATCTGCCTTTTTAAACAAAAAGGTTGCTAGTTACAAGGAATCACTAAAAGATTTATATACCTCTTTTTGCCTTTCATCTAAAACAAATAACACGCTACAGCTATAATTATGGATGTAATAAAGAAAAAAGCAATCAAGCAGAATTTAGTGCTCTGAAATTGTCTAGAACAGAATTACTTCAAATGGATGTTTAAATTGTGTAATTTTATAGCGAGATTAGAAAACCAGAATTCATCAGATATTGGGAAAGTGAAGAGTTAGAAGTCATTGATTGCCATGAGTTTAATCCTTGCCAACGAACACAGTCCTTCCACCAGTTGCTTTAATAGCAGCACTCATTCTGCTTTTCTACAAGGCTTGAGTCCTTTTGAATTCTTCACACTGGAGGCTTTACTGTGTTCCACACTGAGCCTGATCAAAGCACAGCATTTTCCTCTCACTTCAACTCCTGTGTTCGCTAAAACTGGTGTGGTGGTTCTATGCTGCCCAGTTCATATCCCATTTTGTGTGTAGATCTCAATGCCTCTGCAGTGGGAAGGCAGCATGCAGGTGAGTTCTGGGAGTATTTACAGTTTTTATTTGCTTGGCCCAGTTGAAAAGTTTTCCAAAGCTAAAGATATCTGTGTTGCTGAATGAACCAGAAGCATCTGATTGAAAGGAAAAAAGCAGTGCCTTGCTTGACAATTGCAGTTTACAGCCATTTGCATACTTGGTATGGTAGTACTTGATCTTCACTGAGTGGTGAAAATCACAGCATGAGATACAGGAGAATCCCAGCTTGGAATTCTTTAATGTCTCTGGGCTGCAAATAGGTGGAGCAGGAGTGAGTTGCTCCCTTGGCTAAACCTTGCATCGCTCCAGCTTGTGCCAGACTGATAGAAACATAGCCTGGGCATTGAGGTGTGAGATGAATAGAAATGTTCCCCAAAGCATGGGCATTCATGCCCACAGATTGCTCTGTAGGAATTTATTTTGTTAAAAGAAATATTTAAATCATATTTTAAAAAAATATATAGTTGTTACTAATGTTGGTCAGCGAAAGTGGATCCAGTACCGTGAGATGTTCTGCACTGCTTAAGCTGGTCTTCCATTGAACTTTATTTTTTTTTCTTTTCTTTGTGTGCTGTTTTCTGAGAGCACTGAAGAGTCTTCCCTGATGGGGAAACTTCCACAGAAGAACATGGCTCGTTTTGGCAGCTCTTTCCCTGTGGTAGCTAAGAAGATGGTTCCGGAGCAGAGGGTAATTGGTGATGTCCAAATCCTGCTGTGGCCATGTGGATCCATATGACACAACTAAGGACACTGGTAAGGCTGTTCTAATTTATGGTCCTAAGGGGTCACTTGTTATCTGGGAGATCTTTGGTGATTTAAACCATCTGCACGAGGCTGGCAGGTATTTTGTATACAATAACAAAAATCTGAATGTTTTAGACAACAGCCTGTGCGTAAATCTAATATATATCTATTTTTTTCAAGGAGTACTGGCCTAAAAAGAAGAGGTTCATCTGTATGCTTGTGTCTGCAGAGTTTACCAACACAGCTGCTCCATGCAGTGGCTATGTGTTTCTCTATTTTGAAACAGGAAATTACTGCTTGAAAAAGGTCAGTGATCTTGTAAAGAAATATTTCAACTGGGTAAAACCCCTGTTATACATCGTGATACAGAATTGTTCGGAGTCATGAAGCTCAGAACTTGTTTTATTTCTTTTCTTCTTTTTTCTTTTTTTCTTTTTTTTTTGGCCTATCAAGGATTATAGGCTGAGTTCAGCTTCAGTTCAACCTTCATCAATCAATATCATTAAAAGCAAAAAATTTGCCAAAGCAAACTTACTCTGTCAGTGCTGCTCTAATGAGTGGATGAGGGGAGCACTACGTGATCGACTTCAGAAGGGTTGCTCCACTAAGTGTCACGGCTGCTTGAATTTAAAATGTCAAAGTTACTCCAGTTATAGCTCCTGCTGGGCACCAAAGCCTGTTGGAAAAACCCTAAAAGACAGCTGGAAAGGGAATATTGTATCAAATGTCCAAGTGTTCTAATTGACTGGTCTGAGCATAGAAATCCACAAAATGTTGAGAGGCCAAATCCTTGTCCTCAGATAGTTGGCTTCAGGAGAACTTGCAGGTGAGTTCAAAATAAATTTCATGCATCCCTATTGTCTGTGAGGATAAGAGTCTAATGCAGCTGCTGAAGTTCAGCTTTGAGTTTGAGAGATATCGATCTGTGCTCAGCTCTGTGGGTCAGGGCTTTAAACCTGCTAACAACTCTTGAGGAAGCGAATCTTACACATCTATGGCAGAAATCAGCCTCAAAGTTTAATACTGGTGAGTTCTCAGCGATCTATTAAAAAGAAATACTGCAAAGAAGGGAAACTTTTTGCCTTTGAAAATAATATCTCTACACCCTGCTGTATCTGAAAATGTGCTTTTGCAGTGGTGGAAATGTCATGTTATTGCATGACTGATCTCATTGCATTGAACAAAGCTGTTTAGGGCTGATAGGACCATTTGACACTGCAAGACAGTTGGTTATGCAGGACTTCAGCAACGGGGAGAGGTTCTCAGCATTCAGTGCACTTGAGGATTCTAGCTGAGCTAGGCTTTAAACAACTCAACAGAGGATTGCTTGTATTTTCCTTTGTTGTCTCTTCACACTTGTCTATGGCTGTCTGCCAGGGAAAGGAAAGATAGCTACGAGGTGGATTGCTCTGCAAGGAGAAGGCAGGAAAGCTGCTACATATCTTGGATATGAAGATGTGGCTGGGGAGCTAAGACCACAGGTATGTGCAGCACAATGCAAGTTAATGTATTTTGACTCCCCTCTTAGCCAAGGAACTATGAAAGCTTCTGGGAAAAAAAGTTTCCTTGGGAATTGCTTTCTAAGCAGTTGTTGTGATGCTTTGTATATGTAACAAAATAAAAATAAGGTCAGCGTGCTTATTCCTTTTCCCATTTCACTCATGCTGAGTTTTTGACACATTAAAATTAAACCCTCAACGTATCAGGTTGAACACTAGGAAGAATTTCCACTCAGAAAGAGTGGTGATGCATTGGCACAGTCTGCCCAGGGAGGTGGTGGGGTCACCATCCCTGGAGGTGTTCAAGAACCATGGAGATGTGGCACTGAGGAACGTGGTCAGTGGGTATGGTGAGGGTGGGTCATCTAGATGATCTTAGTGGTCATTTCCAACCTTAATGAATCTATGATTCACTGAACATTATTTGCAGCAATACTTTGTGAAGGATTTTCCAACATATTACAGGGCTCCAATAACTGTTGGAGGATGAACTAAGAAACAGCAGCATAGGTGCACCTTCTGGTCACCTGGGGTTGTGCAGAATGTTGTTGTGCTCATACAGACACTATGGGAGAGAGCAGCCAAGGAAAGTTGGTAGCAGACAAAGTACTTAAGCAGTACAGGACAGTGACGTGAGTACCTGCTCATAAAAGAATGAGGTTCTACTGTAAAACCTCTGGCACAACGCAGAAATAAATGAGTGTTGTGCTTTATGACAACAGCCCTTTAAAGACTGAAAAATGTGTCCTTGCTCTCCTGAGGCTCACTTCAAATAGAGCTCTGTGTTCAGCTTGTGAAGAGGCCAACCACCTTGCTCCTTGGCAGCCCTGCTCCCTGAGCACACCCACGTTTTGTGCACAGGGAAGAAGGCTCATACTCCCTAGAACTTCATCTTCTCATGAAAACGCTCACTGCAAGAAAGAAGAGTTCAGCTTCCAAGAGGGAGTGGAGCATTAAAATAGAATCATAACCTGAGAGGGTTTGTATTATTTTTATATTGTGAGTAGGATCAGACACCAAAAAGAAGTGCAAGAAAAATCTTCTGTCCCCAGAGATCTAGCAGTCTAAACAGACAGGTGAATGAGTGGTAGGAAAGGGATGCCTGGAGAGGTGAAGCATCAGCAGAAGGTTGCAGGGGTAGGGCAGTGTGAAAAGAGCAGGTTTCCTAGTTGCAGCCTACCCTTTTTCTAGTCATTGGACTTTCCTGACTTAAGATGCCAGTTTCAAAGCCAGGTTAGCAAATATAATTGCACTCCAGTCATGTTTATTGCTTCCTTATAGCTTACTCAGACAGCCTTACAGGTGTAATGCTTTATGGACTTCTGAAATGGCAGGTATCTGCTGTGAGGAGCTCAGTTTAGACTGTGCTTAGCACTACTGAAAAGTAAGGGTAGACAATAAACTAAAGAAGACAGGTGGGAGGGTTGTAACATTGAATGTGCTGATATATCAAAGAAAAGGTAATGAAATCCTACGTCGCCAGTACATCCTTCATCCATAAAACAGGACAGTTCACAGCAAGGGGGGACTGCATATAAATGCAGCTCTGCCTTACTAATGTTCTTTTGGCTGCCTTCCTTTCTCTCTTGCCTGTACTCTGACCACGAGGCTTTTCCTACAGTACCTTTCCCTTTAATCTCAAGCTTGGTGTGTGACCAAGGAAAGAAGGTGGCTTTTATAGTCTTTAAGGATAAACCAAATGTAAGTCATAAACCAACTGTTCACTTATCCTTTTTTTAGAAAATTGTAGTTGAGGCTGAAACTGAAAGCAAAGGTCTACTGGGCAGTGCGAATGTTTGTGTGGACAAAAAGACATTGCTAGATGTAAAGCAATAATGATCACAAAGTAGTTGATGTGCTTTGTTTGGGGAGGCTGGAGAATGATTGTCCTGCAATACCAAAAGCCAAGAGAGTGAAATTAAATTCACAGTTGCAATTTTACAGATGTGTGCTGTTGGAGAATACACTTGGCATTAAAATGAAGCAGAAGAAGTGGCAAACACAACAAAATGCCTATAATCTGACTAATTGCTGCAAGTGTTTTAGAGTCGCCTCTAAAGTTAAGGCAAGAAAAAATTGAAGAGAGGGAGGTGAGCGGAAAATAGAAAGACAGCAACACAGATTCAATGGAAGGGCTTCAATGCTGCCTGGTATCTTCCTTTGATGTGAAATTGTGTCCCTGGGATTTTCCTTCTTTAGATAATCAGAAGTTTGAGGCAGAGCCTTGTGGGAAACTATCAGTAAAATCAGAAAATATGGGGAGCAGTGCAAGAGTTGTAAGATGCATAAGGAAGTGACTGATCAGGAGGTTTTAGCAGTTACACCAAAAGGAGCTGTGTCAGTCTCAGAGAAGTTATGGATGATTCTTCTCAAGAATCTTTGCAGGATTGGTCAATAGACAATAAAAGGAAATAGTAAAGAAATACTTTCCTTTAGTAGGTGGCTAGGAGCAACAGATGTGGCACGGCTATGTAAAGGCAGATACTGTCGTGGGCTGTACTGGGAGCAGCACATCCAGGTAAACAAATAGTGAGGCACTGGTCATGCATCAGAGCATCAGAAATTGTATCTGTAAATGCAATACTCTGGTCAACTGCATTCAAGTGAGATGAATCACAGGCCAACAAGAGCAGGAAAGTACAGTGGACAAGAGCAAGTCAGGGTATTTACAAAAAGCAACTAGTAGAGTATGTTTCTTATAGTCACCCAAGAGAAGGATGAGCAAGTGTACGAGTACTGACATCAAAATAGGTAACAGAGAAAGTACACAAGATACACTCAGCACCGAAGAAGGAAGAATTAATAAAGCTAGAAATTTGTAACCATCAGAGAGGTGAGGCTCTGGAAGAGGTCATCATACAAGAGACAAACTGTTCACGTGACACATAGTTTGGACTGCTTGCAATAGCAGGGCAGAATTCAATGATCCAGGAGCCCTCCTATGTTAAGGAGGAATAGGGGTGTCTCATAGGTGGATGCGGGGACATAACCTCCATATGAACTGTTCTTCACTGCCCTCTGCTGTGGGTGTGTGTATATATATATATTTATGTCAGTAGCGTTCATGCACTATCTGACTGATTCTTGGATCTGATAGCTTTGGAAGTAATTGATAATCCTTTCACCCCAGATATGTCACCCAGCAGAAATTGTCCTGGAGGATGCTGCCCTCTGAGGATGGTCCAAAAGAGCTGGGAGCAGGCAATGCATCAGTTGCAGGAAGGTAGATATGCAGTTGAAAGAGATTCTCTGTTTTACATATCTGTTGTGGGGAAGGAGTAGTGTGCAAAGTACAGAGTATAAACTGTGGGTGAAGCACAAATTCTACAGTTACGAAGAGACTTCATATTCCATCAATTCTAAAAGACCTCTGGTCTTTAGTCCAATAACTGAGGTTTACAAGCAGCTTGCTACTATAACTCACTAAATCTTCATGTTTCCATAGGTCAGAAACACAGCCCTGGTTATTAGAATTCCATAGATCTCCGGCTCCTTACACCAAGATTAGGTCTGGTCATCCTGATGGCCTTTGCCATAGATTGTGTTAATTTGGATGCAGCATTTATCTATGCAGTTTGGCAGTAAAGTTATCAGTTATCTGAATAATGTAATATGAAAAGGAAATGCAATTTCATTTAGAGATCAACAGGGATAATTTAGTATTCCAAATAGCCTCTTGACAGATACCTGCAAATTAAAGGTTACTTTCTTCCTCCATTTAATAACAGGGCTCTCCTAAATGCATCCATCTTAATAAAAAAAAAAATAAATTCAAAATCTAATTTATCAGCTCCCCACATAGTACTAGGATATTTATAAGCAAGCAACAACTGAATTAGTTCAGCCTTTAGTAAGCCTATAAATATCACTAAAAGGAATAGACATTAAGACTTCTTTTGTGAGCTCAGATCAGTGAGCTACTATTGAAATCATCCCAAACCTCCCCTTTTAGTTCTTTGTTCCACAGGCTGCTACTAAAGACAGTCAAAACCAAGCTCATGATTTTGATTTACAGTAGCTGTTTTCAGGGCCTGATGGCACATTTAAAGAAATGCCTCACGATTTTTGCAGTTAAAAGGATTATTTTCATGTGGAATAGGACCATCCCTTCTGTGATGTGCTGTGAAGAACTGTTACACCTGTCTGAGGCCTCAGAAACAGGAGATTTGCTCTCCCTTGCCCTGCCAGTGTCATCACTGATGCTCTGTTAGCTGCACTAGGGCAAAGGTTTGTTCCCCAGAGCTCTTCCTCCTTGGCCCACCTTCAGGGCACTGAAAACAAAGAAAAGACAACAAGGTATTGTTTATATTTTGAGCTTAGAGCATCTGTAAAATAACCTAATTGACTGCTAGAATCTGAGCAGAAGGTCATAGTGATGTCCGCAGGAGATGCTTGTTACTCACCAGCTAGCCAGTGTGCTTAAATAATTAGTTTCTAGGAGAATAACATGCTAGTCTTTTTTTTTTTTTTTTTTTTGAGCTATGTGGTTGAGACATACCTTTTAGAATTCAGGAAAATGAGGATGGAAACGTAGAGCTGTTTCCTGCCTATGGCACTTTCTGCCCACCATATAAACTGCTGGATCACTGTCAAACAACATTTCTGCTGTCTTCCAGTTCACAGCACAAAGCTCAGTTTCACAGTAGATCCCAGGAAATTCCTATTGAAAGGGACACATACAGTGAGAGACTTAACAGCTACTCAGGTCAGGTACTTCTTTGAATCTGCTACAAAAGAGGGAGGCAGTGAGTTGCAGTTTCCATAGAATTATTCAGTGTTTATCTCCAAAGGGCTGTGAAGTATGAAGTTTAGTAGTAAGCACCCATCCTCTGGAGCAGACAAAGCTAAATACAAATTTAAGGGCAATGCCAATGCAGAATTTCCATTTCATGCTAGGAAGAAGGAGATGGCTTTTTATGACCTGATCTAATTTCAGAGTGTTCCCAAACTGATAAATCTGACCCAAGCTAGCTGCTGCTGCCCTTGAAAACCGGCATCCTTGCTGTGTTCTTGCTGTTTCTTTATTTATTTCTTGGGATCTGATCCTCTGCCCTTCTCTGTCCCCCAGTACTGATTCTGTTTCCTCCTTCCCTTCCCTTGGGAGCCATTCAGAATGCTAATCTGGGGTGTGCTGGCCTACACCACCTCCTCAAATTCTCCTGTCTCCCTGTCTATGGCATTAATACCTCCACTGCTCTCCCCTTGTCAAAGCAGTGAAAATACTTCCCATACTGGATTGTCCTGCTGGGTGTTTTTGATTGCTTGTATAGCAGGTG